ATGTTTCACATGACTGGGTTGCAAAGTAGGAAAGGGAGATATGTTACCAGTTTCTTCTCCCTTCACATGCAGCTGAAAGATTTTTTTATGAGTCTTTCTCCACTAAAACCATTCGGAGGCTACAAGTCCTTTTAAGTAATGTATTTCTATATCTTCAAGATTTTATGTGTACATAGCAGACTGTTGTCATTTTTCTTCATAACTACAGTGTGCTCTACTGATCACAAAAGTGTTTCAGTACATAGACTTTTCATTTCCATGAAAGTTTGAAGTTTGAATGCCTGTGGGCAACATGGCAGATATGATGAAGGACTACATTAATTTAATGTTCCAAACATTTTACTTGCCCACATTAAATTATCAGCATCTCTGAGCCACTTTTAAAGTAATCTGTCATAATTATGAAATATTTAATTTTACTGAATTATCAGGATCAAGTGCCCCTATTATATATACTTTATACAAAGAAAAATAAATAAATCTGTAAAGAAACAGCCTTTTCTCTGTTATATTTGGTTGTATATTTGTTATTGCATGCATTTTGTTCATTATTTATTGTTTATTTTAAAAGTTGTAACTCATTCACCTTACTTTCCTATTTGTTGTAACTTGTCATTTAGTAATTGATTGTTATTTATTTCAGGTACATATTTCTTATTGTTGGTGATGTATGGTTTGAGTGCTATTCCATTTGCATACCTATTCAGTTACTTCAGGAACACAACTGCAGGCGCTTTTGCCTTACTTGTAGTACTCAGTATATTGATTGGTAAGTAACATGTAACTGATAGAATAATAAATTCTAACATTATAATCTAATAAAATTAGGGGCCTGTAAAAAAAGTTATCACCAATTTAAGGTACAGTGAATGTCTGTTATTATGTATTGTATACAACGTAATGAGTTACTTAATGAAATGTAATCTGTGGAATACACATTATAACCAAGTTTTAAATGATGTGAATGTTGTCGTAATATATCACTTCATGCTTCTATTCTTGTGAAGGTTTTTGATGAAGGTCTGTCATTAAACTGATGCATGTTAGTGGAAATTTTTTTCATCTATGAGTTTAGAAGCCTGTCAATGCTTTGGAAGCTGGCTCTGCTTCCAAAACGTGCTTCAATTGACTTTTCCATACTTAAGTTTAAAAAAGTTTGGAGAAGTCAGCTAAATGCACTAAATGGGTTCATGTCATATTCACACACTGAGTGACTATTCCTCTTGAATCTTCAGTATAACAGAAATTCTTGCTGATATTTGAACTTGTGAAGCACATGCAATCAAGATACTTTTGTACACATAATGTTTATATATTTGTATGTACCCATGTAATGTGGATTGTATAGTAAAATACCTTCTCATAGCAGTTTCTTCTGCAGGTTCAGTAATGTCTCCGGTGGTGTACTCTATGATATTGTTTGAGAGCTACAAGTCTACTGGGAAAGTGCTGAAGTACTTATTCGAATTTGTACCTCACTTCACAATTACATATGCATTTGGACGCTTCTCATATCTTGTTCTCACAAACAATAAGTGCAGACTGAAGAAATCTGATTGTAATAGCATTTCTGGAAGTTCTGACTTATGCTGCTGTAAGTTTCTGCATTACTTTATAGATATGAAATCTGTAATATTGTTTGTAAACCTAGCCTAGTTTCCAGTTGATAATTTGTGGATAACGGCAACATGGAATTTATATATATCTTTATTTATTTATTTTTAGTAGAGTTAAAACTTAGTAGTGTGTTTTGAGGTTGGTGTTCAGATTTCTCCAGTTCCATTCTTACATATTAAATAACTTTTACTGCATTGTTTTCCTTGGTAGTGCAACAATTTCTCATATTTCTTTAACATATTTTATTATTTTATTGTATTGTGGTATTTTTAGAGCTTATAAGTAAAGCTGTCCCACTATATGCCA